ACTTCGGCTACGGCAAGCTCTGCCTGGCGCTGCGCTACCTGCTGCGCGGGGACAGCGACGGGCGCGGCTGCCTGCTGGTGGGCACCAACCGCGACAACCGCCTCCCGCTCGAGGGCGGCAGCGCCGTGCCCGGTACGTGCGGCCACGGGGGCCGGACTCCCCCGCCCTCCGCCGGGCCCTGTAGGGCTGGCCCGCCCCGCCCCGCCTCTGGCTGCCCCGGGCGGCCCGCCTGCGCTGGAGTCGCCGCCCGTTGCAGCTGGCTGGTAGCCCGGAAGGTGGTCGGGGAGGGACTAGAATAATAGAATAATAGAATAATATAGTAAATTGAACAATTATTAGAATAATGATTTGTCTGCATAACTGCAATAATGATGTGTCTGCATAATTGCTAGAACAATGATGTAATGCATAATCACTGGGAAAATCCACTGGGAAAGTTCTCTGTCAGTAATATGTGGCAACCTAATGCGCTCTGCACATGGATACTTTGTATGTAGCAAAACCTTCCATTGTATGCCTGTGAGAAATGCTCCTAATGTATCACAGTGTGTATTTCAATGTGTAGCCCTTTGTTCTTTAAGGAGGGGAGTATAAAAACTGAAGTCTAATCCCGCCCTCCTCGTTCAGAATTGCCTATCTCTAATATGCTCTGGACCTTGCGCAATTAAACTCTGCTAACCCCTCCGGAATTCGTAAGAGTTCTTTCGTTTTCCACAAGAGGACTGAAGGAAGCCAGCCTGGGGTCGTTCTGGGCAACGTGCAGACGTGGTCCTCCACTTACGACCACGGGGTGGAGCCCAAAGTTTATGTTGCTAAGCGAGGACATTTTTAAAGTGAATTTTACCACCTCTTCTGCCACATTTGTTAAGTGAGTCACTGCAGTTAAGTTGGTGACACGGTGGTTAAGTGAATCCGGCTTTGCTTGTCAGAAGGTCACAAAGGGTCATCGTGTGACCCCGGGACACAGCAACCGTCATAAATGTGTGTCAGTTGCTAAGCATCCAAAATTCAATCAGGTGACCGTGGGAATGCTGTGACGGTCGTAAGTCACTTTTTTTCAGTGCCATTGTAACTTTGAACAGTCACTGAATGGTTGTGAGTCGAGGACTACCTGTACTTGAGGGGGCTCCGGAAGCCTCTTTGGCTTGGCTAGCAGTCCAAGGCTCTGCGAAGTCACAGCTCTTGCCTTCCTCCCGTAAAAGGTTGAGCCCGTGACCTGCATGCTAAACCTCTTTCACTTTAATCCTGATGGGGAAAGGCATAACGATCCCTAAACAACCAACCTTGTATTAAATTACACTGGAGAGTTTCTTTCTCAGAATTGTGCTGGTGGAAGCAGCACACGGCTCTCCCCTCCCCCAGCAGTAAAGCCCCATTCTCAGGCCCTGGATTAAGGCCACATGTAGAATAATATAATCACTTATTATTTCTCCTTAATTGGTTTGTATCCTGCTTTTTCATCCAATGTTCCTGAAGTTCAAACATATTAGAAAATATTTTTGATCTATAGATGGGATATTTAACAAGTTATCCTGTCCCAGTTCCGCCATTTGTGTTGGCATAAAATATTCCATGCATGGCTAGGAAGATTGAGAGAGTGGTGTGCACACGAGAATATTAAGTATTCTGTGCTTGAAACATAACTAAGGAGAAGTAGGGAATGAAAAATGCTGGGAAGATCAGTTAATGGGTGGCACATGGGACTTTCAGAACAGGAGAGGAGAAATAGGCCTTCACCTACTTACCTCATAAGACCACTTATTGTTTTAGCCGAGACCAAGAATAAATAAAATGAACTCGCTTCAACTTCCCACAGCATTCAACTAGATGGTGGTCCGCCCAGGACCTAGCAAACGCAATATATTTATTTTAAGTTCAAAAACAAAATCTCCCATTTCGAGTATCCATGTTCTTTTCATGGGATAACAAGTAGGGGTCTCTTAAATTCTGTGGTCCTGAAGCCTGTTTGTCTGTTGCTTTTTCATTGTTCAGTTGATATTTGGAATGATAATTGTGCCACATTTTATATATGCATTTCCTTCTGGTGTTGCCATCACTCCCTGGAACTGGGGATGGATCTGAAGCCGAAAAGGTCCTTCAGAGCAGGCATAGGTGCAAGCACACCACTTCTGTGGTGCCTCCATTAAAAAGTGGCATATTTTCTAGGATTGCATAGTGGCATCATGCAATCTGGCAAAACAAAAGCATGAGCGAAGGCGCTGCAAACAAGTTGTTTCAGCTTCAGACCAAAGGGGCAGGACATCCCCAATTGCAACTATACAGGGTTTTTTTTTTATTATTATTATCATACTAAATACCAAGTTGTATGCCCTGCTCAGGATTGCACCAGTTCCTTGCTATTGCGTCTGGCCCCCCACTTTGCCTGCTGGTTTCTTCATTTTTTCTTTCTTTCTTTCTTTCTTTAGGGACGGGCTGCCTCGTCAAGGCAGTGGAGACAGCTGCAGAGCGGGAAGCATTCATTGTGGGCAAGCCCAGCCGCTTCATGTTTGAGTGTGTGGCCAGCGAGTTTAAGATTAACCCTGCGCGCACCATCATGGTTGGTGACCGCCTGGACACAGACATCCTCATGGGCAACACCTGCGGGCTGACAACCCTCCTCACTCTCACTGGGGTCACCACACTGGATGAGGTCAAAGGCCATCTCAACAGTGACTGTCCTGAGCGCAAAAGCCTGGTCCCTGATTACTACGTAGATAGCATAGCAGATCTCCTCCCTGCTCTCACCGATTAAGAAAGGGAGATGTTCCAGCTCTACAGAGATCTTTCTTCACCCCAGGCCACCCACAGTCTCTTCAGGCTGGTAGTATTTTCTCAAGTTACTACGGTGCACACAATTGCTGCTTGCAAAAGTAAGAAGATTTTCGTGCGCAACATTTAAATTGAGCTCTCTGTTTACAAGTTCCTCTTAAAAATGCACTTTGAAAGAAAGAGAGGGAAGTGTGTGTGTCTATCAGCTTTCGTACGCATCAGCTGTGTCTGGCTGGTGTTCAGGTATCAGGGTAGAGGCCTGCTCAGCTGAGCTGAAGGGACTGAGCAGGCTTCTGTTTAAACCTTGCACTATGGTGTTTTGTAATGCAATCTTTGGAAATTCAGGGAATTGAGCAGTTTAAGGGCAGCTGCTCTGGTATCTGAGACTTGATTTTAAGATTGGTTTTTATGATTACTTAGGTTCTGGTTCAAATATTTCAGGGAAATGGAAATCATTGTGTATCCATTGGTAATGTTTTTGCTCCTACCCAGTGGCATTTGCACTGCTTTATATGCAAAACAAGAGTTACACCATCATGCTGCATATGTTTCTCTAGAAATTCTCTAGAATTTCTGATTATATCTATTTTAAAATATATACATATATACATATATGTGTGTGTGTGTGTGTATATATATATATATAAATAAATTGGTTTTATTGGTCAAAGAAGCATGTAACAAAAGTCCATTCAGAAATCGGATCATCAGATTGAATCATATTTGAATTACTTGATTAATGTCAGGATAGACTGCTGAGTTCATTTATCAGTCAGCAATAGTGGGAATGTTTCATGGCAACAGTGAATTTACTAGCATTTTGTTCTTCAGTGTCATAAAGGGTTTCTTTTTTCCTGAAGTCATTTTGAAGTCAGTGTTGATGAAGCAACTACATTAACATATTTAGTGCTTCCTGTTGAAATCTTCTGGGTTGATGGTGGGACGCACAAAAGATCTTGCAGCTCTGCCTTGGCACTTGCTGAAAACAGGTGTACAGACCATTTTGCCTTGTCCGTTTGCAGTAAACATGATTGCACTTTTCAAGTGCTCAGGTAGTTTTCTTCTTGCAGAATCAGTTGCCAGCTTGTCATCTTTAAAATGTACGTAGACAAAGACATTTTTTAAGAAATTGGGGATCAAGGAAAGATACTTCTTTTTTGCTTCAGATGTATTTCAAACAGTTATCTTGCCTGGGCAGCATTTTCAATATTGAAAGTGCTTGAAATTTCTCACTTTTTCATACAGCAATAATTGCATTGTCTATAGTGGAAGACATTCTGTGATTATAAATTATGTTAATCTCTCCACCTCTTTTGAAGTGCTAAAAGGTAGATTATTACGTCTTCAAATAATTTTTCTCTTTTTTTTTTCTTTTTTAAGTTTATCATTTGTAAGTCTAAAGATTGTTCTTCACTTTTGATTACGTAAACTGTGTGAACCAATTTAAAAAGAATGGATCTCTTGGGAGGATTTGTGCTTGGGCAGTTCCAGAGAGATTGCTTAGATCCTCAGAACAGTTGCTCAGACATGCTGGCCGCAAAGTGGATCCGGCCACCTGCTTTCATTATATCTTCTTAACAAAGCTGTATTGTAAAACTCCCAAGCAGGCGCTGTAAAACTGTTCCTAACTTCAATCCAGACCTTGAGTCATAATTAAACATAACTCTTGCTTCCTTTTATGTGTCTGATCTTTTAATTTTACATTAAAGGATTTTTTTCCCTTAAGAGTATTTTAAATGAGACACCAAGGCACACCTACATTGATGTATAAATTGATTTATTGATAGGTTGGATAAGGAGAGATCATGAGGCAAAACCTGGAACAGGGCTGGGGCTACAAAGACATGCATATTATCACTTCCGTTGGATTGGTTACATCACAGTTATAGTTAATTAATCGTAATGCACTCAACGTGAACCCTATGGAACATTCTCTGTCCAGAGGTTCACGTGGCCCCAGCGCTGCTGGCATTTTGTAAGGCTCTAAAGACCTTGTTCTTTGCCTAGGCCAGTGGTGGCGAACCTATGGCACGGGTGCCAGAGGCGGCACTCAGAGCCCTCTCTGTGGGCACGTGCGCCATCACCCCAGTCCTAGGCCTTCAGCTGGGTTTTATAAAACCTTTTCGCTTTAGGCCTCCGCCGCCATGTGCAAAAAAAAGAGCTTCAATCAATCAGTCAATTTCAACTTCTCGCGGGAAAAAAAAAGATCTTGCAAAGTTGGAATTGATTGTTTTAGTCCCACCCAGCCTGCCGTTACCACCTCAGCCACGCCCACCCAATGGGCCACACCCAGCCAATGGGCCACACCCACCCGGCACCCGGCGATGCATAAGTGGGTTTTGGGTTGCAGTTTGGGCACTCAGTCTCTAAAGGTTCGCCATCACTGGCCTAGGCAAGCCCCCCCCCCCCCGGTGTGCTCCCTGGGCAATTCAGAGTGCAGGTGGTCATCTTTAAAGCTCTACAGCAACGGTCCCCAACCTTTGTGGCTTGGCAGCCTGGTTGGGGGGAGGGAACCAGGCTGTGCGAGTGGCGGGCTGGCGTTTGCGGGGCCCAGTTTCAAATAGGTAGTGGGCCGGGAGTTGGAGACCCCTGTTCGAAAGGGGACATGTGTCCAGGTAAATCAGTAGGTCACCTTTCCCCATGGTTTCTGCCCATCCTGCCAGATCTGGCCAGGATGGGCGTGTTTCAGCTCCCCTTTGTGTAATGGTCAACTGGTAGAGGCTAGGAAGTGTCTCTTCTCTCTTATGGTGCCTATCTTACAGAACGGCTCCCCCACACCCAGGTACAGGCCCCTCTCCCCACTGGCCCTCAGAAAAATGGTAATGACCTGGCTTTTCCCCCGGGCAATGGGGCGAAGATGTTGATGGTGAAGGCGTAGAATGGTCGATGGAGGATGGTGAAAATTATCAAAGCCTCAACTTGGCTTGTTTTAAATTATCTCGGCCAATCCATCTCTTGTAGTAGTTTTTAACGCAATCCATCCCCCAAAGGAGGCAAGGTTTGAGCCAAGTCCATAGTTTGTGGAATTGCAGCCAAAACTATGGTGCTCCTCGATATGGGCCAGCATGTCAATCTCTGTGTGGGAGATGGAAGTTGCACATGAAGTTAGGAATTTTCTCTTCCTCCAAAGAACATCAAATGAATTACAAACTCCACGAGGGTGTTCTGAGTCCATACAGTAGAAATAGCTCATCACAAGCTCTGATGAGTCCAAGTTCAGCAGGACATACCTCTGGCAGGAAGAAACAAACAAACAGAATATCTGGCACACCTTTCTCCAATTCTGCCTTGGACACGGGGGGGGCCTTCAGAGAAAAAGAATCAACTCCAGATTATCCAAGGAGGACTCAAATGGTTCTGGATCTGGAGGATCTTGATCTGGAGGAGACCTTATTTTACTGGACTTAGAGCACTCCTTGCAAAAGACCCACACCCACAAAGCAATCTAGATCAAAGATCAGCCAATTCCAAATGAATTCCACCTGAAACTCAATACCTGTTAGCATCCTATTTATTATACTCTAGGTCCCTTCCAAAACAAATCCACTGGCATATGGTCACTGAGTAAAAAGGATGATCAGTAATCATGGATCCTAGTTGTACTCCACCAGGTTCCAAAAGAAACTAAGAAGCAATTGTTAGTCTTCCAGTTCCATAGGCGAAATAGATTTGCCTAAAGCAGAGGTAGGCAACCTTGGCTCTTTTATGACTCGTGGACTTCAACTCCCAGAATTCCTGAGCCAGCCATGCTGGCTCAGGAATTCTGGGAGTTGAAGTCCACGAGTCATAAAAGAGCCAAGGTTGCCTACCCCTGGCCTAAAGCAAAGATCATGCATAAAGAGCAACTGTGTTCTTTGGGTTCAAGCCTTGCTCTGTTACCACCACAGTCTTTTGGAGGACTAAATGCCCATAGGTCAAGAGTGGCAAACCTTGGTAACTTTAAAACTTGAGGACTTCAACTCCCAGAATTCCCCAACCAGTCCACAAATCTTAGAATTGCCAAGTTGGACACCCCTCCCATAGATGTTGAGGAGGGGATCAAGCTCAAAAAATAAAGAGGGAGGATTTAACTTCTCCCAAGAAATCCGTAGCTCTCCAATATGGTTGTGAGATGGGCAGCATATATATTTAATAAATAAAACACAGTAATAAATTGTAAAAGAAGTGATTTCTGTAGTACTTAGATGCAGGGCTGTTTTTTAAAGGGACTCACTCTCTACTGCTTTATTGGGCATCATCAGGCTGATGTCCCGATTTGCTTTTACGGGATACAGAATGAAGGGACTTTGGAGATAGAATAGAATAGAGCTGGAAGGGACCTTGGAGGTCTTCTAGTCCAACCCTCTGCTTGAGCAGGACACTCTATAGTCTACACTATTCCAGACAATTGGCTATCTAATCTCTTCTTAAAAGCCTCCAGTGATGGAGCATCTACAACTTCTGGAGGCAAGCCGTTCCACTGGTTGATTGTTCTCACTGTCAGGGAATTTCTCCTTATTTCTAGGTTGCTTCTCTCCTTCATTAGTTTCCATCCACTGCTTCTTGTCCTGCCTTCAGGTGCTTTGGAGAATAGATTGTCCAATATTTAAGAAATTGTCACAGAGATGAGAGGGTCAATCTCTTAAATATTGGAAGACAGCAATGTGGAAGGGGCTTGCCTTGTTCTGAGATTATTTTGATTTTCCAATCTAGCTCATTACTTTTGCATTTGATCTGAGCCTACTAAAGGTTTTCAAAATCGGCCACAGGTCAACTCCAGGTGCCCAAACTCTTCATGGCTGGAGTTGAAAAGAGAGTGATACAAACCCAAAGCTCACCATGTCACTGCTAGTCTTTCTCTTCATTAGTCTAGACCAGGGGTAGGCAACCTTGGCTCTTTCATGACTCGTGGACTTCAACTCCCAGAATTCCTCAGCCAGCACGGCTCAGCATGGAAACCTCTCCCTTTCCCCTCAGCATGGCTGGCTCAGGAATTCTGGGAGTTGAAGTCCACGAGTCATAAAAGAGCCAAGGTTGCCTACCCCTGGACTAGACATACCCAGTTCACTAGCAAACTAGAGCAGTGGTTCTCAACCTTTTTAATGCCGTGACCCCAACCGGTCGTAAGTCGAGGACTAAACCGGTCATAAGTCGAGGACTACCCAACCGGTCGTAAATCGAGAACTTTCCCTGCCCGGGAGCGCCGCGCATGCGTGGTTCCTCCCCCTGCGCTGGCCGAGGCGTAGCTGGCAAGCGGCAGAGACGGAGCAGGCCGACCACCAGCTGGCCCAGCCCAAGGGAGGTAAGGCACCCGCCGGAAAA